TGTTTCTTGGCTGTCAAGTAAGCTGCCACACTTGGTTCAAGAACCGCTTGGCCAATGCTAATCAAAATAATGCCAATCATTGGTCCAATCAGATGAACCTTGTAGTGGAATGTCCATCCATAAATAGCCAATCCAATTGGATGAAGAGTCGATAAAGCTAGAGCTGGTACTAGACGTCCTTCAGGACATCTTTCATGGCCATAATATTTACTAGCTTTGTCCGACAACCATCCACTAGTGATACTGGTTGTGAACATGGCTACTCCACACGGTACGAAGAGTACACCAATAATGGTTTCTGTGTAGCTATACGGGTTGTTGCTAAGATAAGTAGAAAATAACACTAAACTGGTATATAGAGTGGCAAAGGTCGTCGTCATCACGGCAATGTAAGGAACTATTGTCAAGTCAGTTAGATAGACTAGTGGTTTCCAAGGTTTTTGAAATGGCATTAGCTCGTTGGGTTCAGCGTCGATTATGCGTTTGTTAGGGTTTTCTTTGTGGAAGCGTTCTTTGACAAAGTACTGATGAGTTTCAGGTACTATGACAAACATTATGACGAGGACACAAAACCCAAAGATTGATAAAAACACAAAAGTACTATGCCAACCAAACGCATGTGATAACGGGCCTCCGATCAAAGGACCAATAACAGGACCAACGTTGAAGGGCACGAAAAAGAATGCTTCTGCTAACCCTCGTCCTTCCTCAGGATAGATATCGGCCACTAAGGCTTGACCGACTACCAAGGTTGCTGATACGGCTCCACCTTCTATAGCACGAAACACGATGAGAACAGCTATATGATGAGCAAATACGCAGATTATTGATGCTATCACAAAGACAACGAGCGATGTAATCGTCGTAAGTTTTCGACCAAATCGATCTGATACACATCCCCAAAAGAGACTGCAAATACCACTCATGAACAAGTAGATCGATATACTGAGTGCCACGAGCGTATCAGACGTTTTCAAATCTTCCATGACGATATTGAGGACAGGCAGATATATAGTATCGCAAAAAGGCAGTAGAAAAGCGATTATCGCCAGAGCCGCAAGTATAATGTTACGCCTCAATGGACTTCTTACATTATAGATAGAGATTTCTTCGATTGCCGGTGGTAGCTGTGTTTGCAAATCTGTTGATGTAGGCGTAGAAGCACCTTCGATTGGTATCAATGGCGGAAGAACAGTAAGTAGGCTTGCCTTACCATTTTCGATTGGTGTGGACGGTGGAGTAACAGTGAGCGGACTCACTTTGTCATTTTTACGTTTTATCGAAGATTGTAAACTAGTGAGCGAGTTTGCTTTACCATTTTTGAGAGATGTCGACGGTGGAGAAATGGTGAGCGGACTTGTCTTGCCGTTTTCGATTGGTGTCAACTGTGGAGAAACAATCGGTGAGCTCGTTTTACCATTTATGACTAGTGTGAATGGTGGAGAAACAGTGAACCGGCGCACTGTGCCATTTTTGAGTTTTATCGAAGACTGAAGAATGTTGAGCGGATTGGCTTTGCCATTTTTGAGAGATGTCGACGACAAAGAAATCATAAGCGGACTCACTTTGCCATTTTTGACTGGTGTCGACGACGGAGAAACGGTGACTGGGTTCACTTTACCATTTTGTAGTGATGTCGAAGATTGAGAAATGGTAAGTTGGCTCACTTTGTCATTTTTGGTGTTGTCTGTGATGCAGACACACTCATTTAGCAAGTCGAGCTCGACCATTGATGATGCTTGATGACCACTGAAATCGTTATAATTTGAGTTCATCTATAAATAAAACAAGTTTTCAAGCATATCAATGCACAAATGCCAAGAAAAATAGTCTTCAAGAGCATCATAAGCAAGCGCAAGTATGGATAATTGGTTTTGAAGTATTTTTTTTCATGTTTTGTACAATGTCAGTACGCACTATTGCTTATCGTTTTCTTTTTAAAATTCTTAGCGCAAAAGATGTAGGTGATTTCTTAGATCCAAAATTAAAAGAAAACCGGTAACTTTAAACAGCTAAAGCATAATTATTAGGAGTGCTATGATCAGTGAAATCTGACGAACCAGAATAGCGAGGAAGACTTTCGAAATCTGGAAAATTATAACCAGTCAATCAAATCCCATCATGTAGACTCTCAGAAAATGAATCTTCATTCTTAGTCAAAACATTAATGGATGCTTTCAGTAAGGCTTCTTTAGAAAACACGGTTGTGAGAGTCACATCAATAATACATGTCTTAATCGCTAGAAAAATCTCACTCGTAAGATCTATAAAGGAAACTCTAGCAAATCAATACATCAGATTAGAGTAGCCTAGATATTGCAGCCTGTTATTTCAAGAAAAGCTCGAATAGTCTACTTCTATAACAAGAACAGGTCTTCTACAGGCTTCGAGTAAATTTACTCTCATCCTCAAGCTAGCACACTCAGTATATGATTTTCCGTGTTCTTCTGTAAAAGAATCCAGGAATTCAGCTTGATTTGGTAATTGATACTACTCTACATGTGACTGTTCGCTGGTTCTTTTTGAATTTAAAGAATACATAGATTCCTATTCGAACGATCAAAAAAGCATATGTAAAAGGTTCAACACACTCGTTAGAGATATGCACGAAGCTCTCTATGAAGGAGACGAGTTTGTACGAACCGTTTTTAGAATAACTATGTTAAAATTATGTTTCAATGAACACACTACTAATCTCAAGGCAGTAGACTTTTTTCTGAAAGAACCGAAAAAGACACGTTTTATTGAACGGAGCTCGAAATACTCAGATGAGACTGCTGTAGTTACATATTGTGTTGTTAAATCCATCGCTTCTCGTTAAGAATGTTGAACTTGGAAACAGTAATCGAAGAATGTATTTTCGTTCTACTAAAAAGAAAATGAAAAAACGTCTTTGATGTATCAAAAAGTTTCATAGAGTGAATTTTCAGCGTTTGGCTGTGGAAATGGGTTCCAGTGTATTGGTTCTCATCAGTCACATCCACAGTTCTTGGTGTTGGTTTGCCAATATTAAGTTTTCTTGTGAAATATCAAACTTGTCGCTAGTTAATTTATAAGAATCGAATTCCTGTCAGTCTGTTTAAACTAGTTCGTCATACAACTAGTTCTGCTGTTGATTGAAAATATTTTTTTAATATCGGAGCCAATCAGCTCATGATTATCGGCGAGAAATGAGAAGGGCACTCAACTGAGACTTACTAGAAAAAAATCTATTATGATCAACAACCAAAATAAGCCTTGTTTTTGTATCACATCGTTTCATTTACTTCTAACTATAGTCCAAACGGTCAAAAGTCCGAGTTGAGGGTGTGCTCATATTAAGTTTTACTGTAATACTATAAGAATGAGTTATGAAGTGCTATTACATAGGAACACCCAACATGACTTGGAGTATCTAATAACATGTACCAATACAATATAGAACAAACGCATTGAAAGAACGAAGCAGAAAAAGGAAAGGTAGCATATCCGGTGCCGGAATGAAATTCATGCTACATACAACAGATGATACAATGGATATTAAAGTGATTAATGAAAGCTGATTATGTGTCTGTAGAGTAAGGTAAACCATGCTGTATTACGATCTACGCTTATCTTCCATTTTCTCTTCGTCTTCATAATCATCCTCCATTTCACCCATAAAAATATCAAGTTCATTCACCTGATCATTGATAATATCAGAACTATCTATTATTACAGTAGAAGATTTGTCTACTAATTGATCTATTGCACCAATGTACACACGATGCTACTGTTCTATACTTAGACTTCAGCATTTTCTTTTGTAATGTAAGGCTGTCAGCATTTGGCCTCTCTTCACCAGGACCACTACTATTGTCAACATGTGAATTATGTAGGTCATACTACAAGAAAGAAAGCATAATATTAAAAGTTATCCCAGAATATGTTAGCATAGAGTCTTATGTATACGTACAATATTTGAAATCTGTTAACAAGGTTTATTGTACAAATGAAAATCAAACTTGTAATAGCCTATGAAAAATCGATACACGTTAAATTATTCAGGAAATGTGTACAAATAGAATGAGATAAAAATGTAAGATATACACTATAGATAGACGACTAATAGAGAATAATAATGGTACATATATGATCAATCCATATATGAAATGAAAATGAATATTAAAAAAAAAAATCAAAATTTCACTCGAACTTTTGACCGTTCGGACCATAGTCCTGACTGTTTCCAATAATTTTATCCACGTATGTATGTTGAAAAACAGGCATACTCACACTTTAATGATACTAAGATTTATAAAGGTATGTTTATGTACATTCGTAAGCAACTTAGTTTTCTTTTTATCATTGATGAAAGTGGTTGGTTGTTTCTCAGCTGAAAACTTATGTCGGCTAATGAAGCGTGACTTTTAAATGCGGATGATATTTTTTTGAATATGAATACATGCATATTTGTTTATTCTTTGTTCTGTCTGTATAATGATCATTTGATTAGTTTTTTTCTTTTCATGGTGTTTCGTATTATGATGATGAAAAATTAGTAGTATTATTGTTTATCACGAGCGCATTGCACATCAATGCTGAATTTGCGTTTTTATTATAAAACACTTGGACTAATGTTCTTTTCATTCTCACTGTGTAAGAAGCCTGTAATGATTTGAAATTTTCTACTATGCTATACTCACAGGGTTGCCATTTCTTATTATTCAAAAGGGGTTTTTGAAAGTCAAAATGGGGTACATTTGGAGTACATTTCTCTTTTCAATGAGATACATCACTGGGGTACATTTTCTCCCCATAAAATGTAGGCTTTAATTGAGAAAACCGATAAACTAAAACTTCTTTTATACAAGATGACACAATATTTCACTATTTTTATACCTGAATTAGCTTTATCGTTCATTTTTTCTCAAAAGATACGTCACTAGTAAACTAATAAGTTCAAAAATGAGAACAACACGATTAATAAAAATAAATACGAAACTGTACATGAATACATGTTCAATTTTAAATCATGTAGATCAATGTTTTTTCCTAAAGTTATACTTTTCTGTACGTCTAGCATATTGTATTAATTCAGGTTCATTTTGTACGTATAAAAAAAAAACATCACATTTCATTTGGTCATTGAATCTTATTTGTAATTTAGCAGCAATTGTTTCAACTGACATTAAATTTCTACTAGATGTCCATGCTTGTTTCATATGATTAAATACCTCTTCAGTAAAAGCATTGGAACAAGGAATAGAATAAACAAAAGAAATTAATTTTGTTATTTCTTGACAGTTTGTCGTTGTTCTTGAGATAAAAGAAGCCCAGAATTGATCTGGACGAATTCTAGGATGATTGTGTTGATGATTTGATGTTGTTGTTTTATGAAAAAATCTTTCTTTTTCAGTCGTTTCTTCGACTTCATCGAAATTACAGTTACCAATATAGGTTTGTATCTGATCAGAAAGTGATTCACGATAGGAAACAATTTCCTTAAATGTTGATTGTATATGGATCATTTCGTCAAACAATTTGTCGTGATTGAGTTCAATATTAAGAATAGCTACACATCGTTCTATTTGATCGAATGCAATTTGATCAATTTCGATGATTCCTAAAATCGAAAGAATTTTTTACCTATTTTTTCTAAATTATAAAAAATATACCGAAGATGGATAATGTTTCAGCTAATAACGCATGCTCTGAATAATATTTATTAATATAATTAATGATATTCAATAAATATTTTGTAAATGAAGAAATTGCTTTTTCCTATTCATCCTTTGACATTGAATTTAATAATAAACGTGTATTATAACCGAAATACTTTTGCTCAAGTTGATCGTTTAGTTTTTTAAGTAAACTTGTGATAATTCTGTGTAAATCAGCAATTGATGTACTGTATCATTGTAGTTTCAAATTTTTGATTTGAATATCAAATAATATTGGATGCAAAAAGTACAATGTGCATTTGGATATATTCGATAAAAAAAAAGGTTTTGATCATCTATGGACATGTTTTTGTGTCTTCGTCTTCATTTTCATTTTTATTATTAATATCACAAAAACATGAAGATAATGGTTCATAAACTTTTAATAATCGATCAATTGAATTGTATAAACTCAGCCAACGAATTTTTATATGTTGAAGCAAACGCTAAACAGATGGCATTCTTGTATCTATATTCAAATATACACAATTGAGCAAACTCACTAAATAATCTTCTTCGACAAACTCGAAATATTCTTTTAATTCAGCAACACATTTCGATGATGAACTAAAATGAGTATATAGTTGAGATACATACGACTCAACATCAACCGGTAAATGTTGATGAGAAATTTTGACTGAATTAGATTAAACATGGCAAAAGCAAATTCCTTAAAGAAGAAAGATGCATTTCTACAAGAATTTTATGTTTTTATATTATACTATTACCTTTGAATAAATTTAAAACTTCATGCTTCAAAATGCTAAAAACCGAATGATATCTACCATAATTTGTGTTCGTATTAATCAGCACCAATGGATGTCAATTTTTGAATATCAAGATTTTTTTTTTTAATACATGATGCAATGTATCAACAATATTATCAGCTGCTTCACGTGGTTGTTCCACAACTTCTAATACAGCTCTTACAATGTTACAGTGTATTGTAACTACATATACCTCGATTCTATCTATTCTCTTTTCTCTGATATTTTCGTTTCTGTTACTTCGTTGCTATTGCTCTTCTTTGTCCTTGATTAACCTTTCTATTCTATTCTACTTTTGTCCTTATTTTTATGTTCGTATATAAACATTAGTTTTTTCAAAGAAAAAACGGAAAGAAGAAAATATATATATCTTTAACAGTGTTCGTCGCTCTTCGGGAGCGCAACCTCTAACATACAATACTGGATTTAATTGTAAAATAATTAATAATGAATGGAAACATCTTTATGTCCTCCTTGTTAGAACCAAGGGGGAAAGTGCAGGTACCCAGCACCTGCTCAGCACCTACAGCACGTATACCGCATTCCACTGTGAGCATCTACGGTACCTACGGCACTTTCAGCATCTTCAACAACTATTCTATTGTCTTAAGTACTTAAGATAATGAAACAATGATTGCAGGTGCTGAAGGTGCCGTAGGTGCTCATAGTGAAATGCGGTATAGGTGCCGAACAGGTGCTGTAGGTGCTGTAGGTGCTGTAGGTGCTGGTAGGTGCCGGTAGGTACTGGTAGGTACTGGTAGGTACTGGTAGGTGCTGTAGGTGCTGAGCAGGTGCTGGGTGCTAGGCATTTGCACTTATCCCCTTGGTTAGAACCATCAAAACATAAAGAATAAAAAGAACATTGATCAAGTTGTTGAATAACTTTAGAAGTAAAAAATGGAGCTAAAATTATAAGCTAATATTGAGCACAAATGTCTTATAAACACTGAATAGTTTCTCATCTTTTTTATTAGATAATATTTTTTCTAGAATTACTGCAGATAGAATTAAGGGTACCCCCCTCTTCTTTAACCAAAAACTCGATTTCGAGCTGAGCCTAAGATATGATAGCTTGAAGTGCCATATGCAACTAGAGACATTATTCAACTCTAAATACCTTACTTGTACAGAGTTATTGGATTGAGAAAATTTTTTTTTCATAGTGATCATATGTAACCTTTTTCCTTTTTCTTAGCGTTGCGTAAAACACAAATTTTCTAAGTCTAGATTGCTTACGACCTCCGCCCCCCCCCCCCCCCCCCCCCTTTAACTTTATTCGATCGGGCTGAAATTTTTACCACTAATACTTGAAAGTATTCTCCAGGGGTAAAATCGAGCGTTTTCATTTTTGACATTCCTACTCGGAGATATCGGGTCCTGAAAGTCAAGACCCAGACCAAAATCCGAGTGCTGACGTATTTCTCTTATAAAAAAAAACAAAGTGAGATTTTTGAAAGAGCTTAAATCTACCTCTGAGGAATAGTCTTATGTATCTAAAAATAAAATTTCAGCCTAAACGGACAAACTTTAAGGGGGGTCGTAATGTGTCAGGATGCGGGCCTCTGGAAAATCAGTGTTTTTCAGAAGCCCCCACAAAAACTTACTTCAATTTTTTTTCCTCGAACACGTATCTCTTTATTTTTAGTCCTCTATCTGTGCTAAAAATTTCAGCTTGATTGGTTGTACCGTCTTCGAGAACCAGAAAGTGTTAAAAAGCGGGGGAGGGGTGTACCCTTAACTCACCAAGCACATTTACTGATAATTCTCGTGCTTTTGTTTTACCACAAGTGATGTTTTGTCCAATTTGAGAATCATTAAAAATCTTCTTAAGAAGATCAACTGTACATGATTGACTTAAATAACTATAGCCATGGCGAACTCCATGATAAACAAGACTAAGTTCAGCTGCAGTCAATTTAGTTAGCGTTGATGATGCTGGAATACAATCGTGTATTGATCGTGCTAAATAACAAAAAATAAGCTATTCAATAAAACGCACGGCGTACCAATCTTAATTTTTACAATGTTCTTTTGCTTGGGTTTCAGCTAAACGCTTATGACTGGATTGTTCAATGTGATGATTAATTAAATAATCACCTCCATTAGAAATAGAGAAATCTGATTTACAAATAGATCAATGAGCAGAATATTTATTAGTTCAGCATTCTCTGATAAATGCTGCATATTTTGGATCTTTCAACCATTTTTGTTTGAAAGTACAACGTCGTTTTGACTTTGATGAACTAATTTTTTTTTCTTTGATACCAGTAGTTGGTTTGTTCTGTAAACTAAAATCTTCTTCACCTCCTGTTGTTGTCGTTTCTGAATCATCAGAAACTTCAATTTCCAAAACCTTGTTCAATGCCATACGAAGATTATTATCAAATTCATTGAAGACAAAATCTACCACTAGATTCATTTTGGAGACAGTATGTATTTATCAAATATAATACGAAAAAGCAATGAAACAATGGGAGACAAGAAAATGAGAACATTTCATTAAAATTTATTTCATTATTCATGATGAACTTAGTATTTAAAACCGAAAACATAATTCAGGTGGAATTAACAAAATAAATGTCTATATCTGTTGGTCTGTTCCTCGCCAATAAATTTTATTATAGATATCTTTATAAAGATGACAAAGCTCTAGTGAAGAGCAGCTTTTTTTTTTCGTTATAAAATTAGTTAATCGCATACAATGCTTCAAAGCCTAAATGGGGTATAAAATTTTCCGGGGTACGAAATGACGAAATGGGGTACAGTTGGCAACCGTGTATACTCACCAACTTATTACATCTGTAAATCATAGTGAGTCAAATGGAACTTGAAAAGCTATATGAGATAGTTTTCATTAGAAAAAGAAATGCTTAAGAAAATACGCATAAATTTCAAATATGTGTTAGATTATGAACTCTTCATGTTGCAATGCACTTTTTAAGAATTATTCTAGAATAATCATAATTAGTGTAGTGTTTGAGAATGACTCAAATTTTTACTTCGATTGAAGTTACTTGCTAGACAATGACGAAAGCTATCTACGATAAAAATGTATGCATCCAGGTACGAAGATTTGATCTCGAGAGTGAGTAAGAGATATCATGAGTTTTCGTACTTCATTCTCAAGAGTTCATCAAATACCTTCGAATCAGATATTTCTCTCGCAAAGATGAGCTTTTTCATCTGCTAAAAGTCAAGTTTCAAAGGAGAAAACTAGTGAGAAAACCAAATGATATGGGCATTATACATATAGTTGATCATATTCGATTTGCTAAGTTTTGAATATGCTATCAACGCCACTCGATACCGTGATGCAGGAAAATTTCAACTCTTGAACACATCGTTGCCATCAGAACATATAATCGTATAAATAGTTCATCTAGAAAATGAAAACAGAATATTTCAATCCAACATAATCTAAGAGGGCAATTGCTAAAGCATTAACAAAAGACGAACAAATTACGCGAAAAACCATTTTTCTAAATGACTTCAACAACTCAAAAGAATTGATCGATTGGTTTGCAAACAAAGCAGCCCAGCCCAAGAATTTCTGGATCTAATATGTAAAAGATGCTCCATGTTTATCCATTCAGCTGGTTATACGTCGAATGTGACTAATAACTCATTCACAGGGGAACATTTCCAGGTGCCCGAGCACTTTCAAATCGGGACTTAGTACATCTTGCAGACCTTAGTGAACTGTATTTATGGTAAAAAAAGTTCGTGCTTATGGCTTATTCTTAACGAGATATCGAAGTTTTAGTGAATTTTCTCTGTAGAACCCTATTTGTCCAACACAACCATATTTTCGAATTTTGACATGAAACTTTGCCCACATAAAGACCTTAGCTAGACTAGCTTGCAAAAAACAATTCAGAACTTTTTGGCAAAGTCTCTTCGAGATATGAAGATTTCAAGATATAGACTCTTTTCCATACATAGTGTATATAGTATACATTTGTTCACGTCTTCATATTCTCGAAGTGACTTTGTCAAAAGCTCTGAAATTTTTTTGCAAGCTAGTCTAGCTAAGGTCTTTATGTGGGCAAAGTTTCATGTCAAAACTCGAAAATATAGTTGCGCTGGACAAGTAGGGTCCTACAGAGAAAATTCACTAAAACTTCGATATCTCGTTAAGAATAAGCCATAACAACGAACTTTTTTTACCATAAATACAATTCACTAAGGTCTACAAGATGTGCTAAGTCCCGAGTTGAAAGCGTTCGGGCACTTGGGAATGTTCTCTTGTCAGTGAAAAACACCAGCCCCATATTATTTCAGATTCAATCCGCCAAAAACTGGTATAAGAGCTTTTAATGATTATCTTACTCGCTCATCTGCTAATTTATACACAGCTTTCATTTTTCTGAAGTCAATATCCATACATACGTAATTCAATACTCATGATCAATATCTTCGCAGCATTTCGCTTAACTACATCCAGTCATCAGAGAACCGAAACATAAAACGAAAGCTTGTTTCATTCTTGAAATCAATCTCAATCAGAAAATGCTTCTTTATAGCAATATTTACTGCTCATGTTATTAACAACTGTGTTGATTAACAATCAGAATAAAACAGTGTTCTTCTGTTTCAAATCAAATCACAAGGCAATAAAAAGAGACGAAAGATTGAAAGACAACGAAGATGTATAAACAGTTCTATGGAACTTCTTGTATAACATCGCTTAGAAACCATGAGACGTGTCAATGAAGAGAAGCAACAAACACACACGAGTACTCATCTTTACACTCAAAGTTTCGTGTCCAATATCAGGAAAGCCAGTTTAGAAGTAGTGATGTCATCAAAGGAAATTAAAATTGTATTCGCTTTTGCTCGCGACCTTTTGCAAGATGTTGTTCTCCATAGGCATTGATTTTGTTCCAATGGAACTCAAGTTTGGTGAGTGTCTATTTTGAACAAGCAATCAATGATAGATAGAGAAGGTGAGAATATTATTTGGTTTATTTATTCGAGAGCTTTAGCAAGATGTTGCGCGTCGTGATTCATAATTTGATTCTCAGCGAGGCTCAATGTGATGAGTGTCTGTTTTGAATATGCATGGAGTAATTGATAGAGAAAGTGGAGATATTACTTTGTTTTGTCCGAGAGCTCTTGCAAGATATTTTGCTACTTGATCTTCGATTTGATTGTCACCGAGGTGCAGTGTAGTCAATGTCTGATTTAAACAGATAGAAAATGATAGATAGAGAATGTGTAGATATTACTTGGTTTTGTCCGAGAGCTTTGGCAAGATGTTGTGCTCCTTGATCATCGATTTAATTGTCACCGATAGGCAGTGTGGTGAGTGTCTGTTTTAAATGGAGAACGTATGATAGATAAAAATAGTTTGAGTATTACTTTGTTTTGTTTAAGAGCTTTAGCAAGATGTTGTGCTCCTTGATCACTGACTCTGTTGTAACTGAGGTTTAGTGTGGTTAGTATCTGTTTTGAGCATGCGTTAAATGATGGATAGAAAAGATAAGAATATTACTTGGTTTTGTTCGAGAGCTTTGCTAAGACATTGCACTCCTTCATCACCGATCTCATTGTTACTGAGTGCAAATGTGGTTAGTGTCTATATGTGTGGAATAAAAAAGTGACAATGATGGAAGAGCTTGTGAAAGGATATCATAACGGCAACTGTAGATGGTTATTACTGTTTTAATGGAAAGTCTTTGATGTAGCTCATATATGTTTAAATAGTTTTCTCTTGAAATAAGAAATACTGGAAAATGTCAGGAGGTAATTATACAAGTAACGTTCGTCGGTTCGACTCACTTGACCCTCGACTGTATCAGACAGAAGTATACAAGTCTCATCCATGGACACCCAGTTATGAAACAGCTGATTAAGGGAGAACTTATCACATATGTCCGATTGACTGAATTTTCATTCTGAAAAATTGAATTGGTTGAAAATTCAATATTAAAAGCACGAGAATCGGATACTTAGCCAACGTTTTTTGTGATATTTCACATTCCACTATGTCAAAAACTTATTTTATTTCATATAACCGTTCCTACACTCGAGGAAAAAATTTATTTTCTCGAAAAAACCTTTTCTCCTGAACCCAAAAAAATTCGATTCAAAACTTCGAGAAACCGACCTCAGATTCGGATTCTCCGACCTTGATTTACTTTCGTCAACCTTTATAAAATATCATTATTTTCTCAAAAAACCCTTATCTTGACCCTAAAAACCCAATTCAAAAGTTTGAGAAACTGACTTCAGATTCGGATTCCCCGACCCCGATTTACTTTCGTCAACCTTTATAAAATATCATTATTTTCTCAAAAAAACCCTTTTCTTGACCCTAAAAACCCAATTCAGAATTTTGAGAAACTGATTTCAGATTCGGACTCCGCGACCCCGATTTACTTTCGTCAACCTTTATGGAAAATTTTCTAAAGTGGAAGTTTTTTGACCCTGATGTTTTTTTGACTCCGATGCAGACACACACACAAACTATTTTTTTTCATATGACCCTTCCTACAGTCGAGGGAATAAAATCTTTTATTGTGTGAAATTTCTTTCGAATTGTTTTGGAATCCATAAGGTAGGTTTTGGAGCTTGTGAAATAATGGTGGAGCTCAATATTTCCTGAGCAATTGGGCAATAATAAGTAGTGATGTTCGTCAATATTTGAGGTAGAAAGACGAATGTTTTCCATCGATCAGAACACCCGTTCGTGCTCTCGCACTCGATACACTGTGTGATTTATCAATGTTTTTCTAAGATATTGCTTGAGTTGTGTTTGTTGATTTTACTGATATACAAGAGAAATATACTGCTCATAGTGCACTTCATTCATAATGCAATAGTGTTTTAACGACATTGCTCCAGAAAGGGATTGATCTCAATAATACTTTCGTTATTTCTGTTTCAATGATTGTTTTTCAAATATAGTTTTTGAGTATGATTCGCTCATGATTATTAAAATTATCATCATCTCAACGAATGATACTTGGTTTCATGATTCTTAAATTATTAATAATGACTGTTTTTCGTTGACTTCAATTATTATTAGTGATCAATGAGAGTTTTTGACTGAGTATTAAAAGCAAAAGCTGTTTTCAATAAATCGTCATATTAATTTGATTAGATCAAGTAACGAGTTGTTAGCCAAGAAAAATACTCTAGTGAGACAATATGTTGATTCGTATCTTGGATAAATAAATAATATGTTGAAGATAATGAAAGTTGAATTGTCAGATATAATTGTGTTTTACCTGATATTGATGGTAACTGTCGACAATTGCATTCATACGAATACAAACGTTTCTCGTGAAGCATAAAATATTGAAATCACACAGATGATCAAGAATTCGGTAGACGAGTTCTACGGGTAATGTAAGAAGAGTCGGAATAATTTTGGTTGACATGGATGAAAATTCTTTTGAGATGTTTGGAATGTTG